CTTACTCGATGCAGATTTTGTCGACATTTATGAAATAGAAATATGGTATTTGAAGAAGATGAAGACGATGATTAAGCAGAAGATAATTGTATTTCAGAAGGACGTAAAATTGTTAATGATGGCTATAAGAGAAGCGCTGTTGAATTTTGGAAAAGTGCAAAAAAGGACGGTATTCCTTATCATCGGTAAAAAATCGTTTTAAAATGGTGAAGTCTTTGCCGCAACTATATCGATGGGAACATTACATACAAAAAGAAGATATCCATAGAGAAAAGATATATTTCCGAAAATGTCTTACAAAATTTTAAAGAAGCTAATGACGAAAAAAGAATTATTCATGATATGGACGGATAATCCCGATTGATCACGGCTCGATTGGACACCACCAATCACAGCGACCGATGCTTAGGAGCTTTGTAGTCTCAAGCGCTGTGAGTGGCTCGTGTCCAATTGAGCCGTGTCCAACTGGATGCCACCCATATGGACTTACGACGATGGGCCCTAGAAGCCAAGGCACAAATCGATTTTTCTTCATTTAAGGCTAGTGCAACATGAATATTAAATTTTAAAAGAAAATATAGAATCGTGTCAAGAAAAATAACAAAATTTATAAATCGTTCTAAGTAAAGAGATAAAGAGCAATTACAAATTGCATGTCAGGAATTCATAGCTACCGTAAAATTTAATATAAATCTTTTTGAACTAGAGAATATATATAATGCAGACGACAGTGGATATTCAATTTAGAATTACATTCAGGCAGAACACTGACCACGCAAGGTGTTAAAACAGTTGAAAGTATAGTTCAATCACTATCGGCAACTACGCATAGTTACACAATTTTGCCCATAATTTCTGCAAGCGGACAATTGAAATCGCCTCTCTATTTAGTACTGAAAGAAGCTAGTGGATATTTCGGACCACGCGTAGAGGAAAATTTGTCTAGACCTGCAAATGTTTACATTGCAGCATCAAAATCGGGCAGATTAACTACACAACACTTTCAGTCTTGGTTTACAAATGTATTTGTACCCGCAACTGAAAGTTTTAGTGTGCTGTTGTGAGACTCTTGGAGCGGAGAGACATTGTTCTACAAGTCTGCAAGAATTTATGCCAAAAAAAGATAAAGATATACGAATTTTAACTATACCAAAGAAAACAACAGGAATGATTCAACCTCTTGACGTTTATGGATTTAGACTATGGAAAAACTTTGTGAGAACTTTCAGTGATCGTGTTATGTTACTAAATTATGAAATTAATTTAAGAAATAATATCGTCAAATATTACAATCTTTAACGCATATTTAACTATCTTCTCCGTGATTTCATAATCTTTTTAAATATGCCTGGTATAAGAGTGGATACATCGAAGAACGGCCACCATAATTCGAAATTCTAGTAGATTTTTGTTTCAACGGAAAGGATATTCAAGAAATACCTCGCTTCTCTGCTCCATATGTGGTGCACCTTCTGTAATACGATGTTCCTGGTGCAATATTTTTGTATGCAGCATTTTTTTTAAGAATATCATAATTGCGAACATTTTGTCATATAATAATCATGTTAGTATTAATAACGAAATTAACAAGTAGTTTTAAAATTTATAATAAATACATTAATTTTTTGCTCTTTATAACAAAACATGTGCTTATACATTATTGGAAATATATGGTACCGTAACTCATCACTGTTAGATGTCAAAGGAGCAATGGCAACCCTGTGTGCGTGCGTGCGGGCGTGCGCGCGCGCGCGCGTGTGTATGTGTGTGTTTCTTGAGTTAAATAACATTTAATTATCTTTTTACTTCCATGTGTATCAAAATGTTAATCAGTCTATTTCTGTACTTATTTCAACATAAGTAACGTTTACATTAACGTATGTAATTAAATAAATTATAGAATCAAATTAAAATATCTTCTTGAGTTAAATGATTTAACTGCATCATTAAATTAATGACGTATTGAGAAAAATGAGGAGAAGGATGTTATAATTTTACAATATATATATTTTGATAAGCATTTTTTAAATATTACTCGCGCGAATATATTTTTATGTAATAATAATAATATATCTTTTTATAATAATAAATCTTTTTAAATATAATTTTTTTAATGTTCCAAAGTAGTCAAGGGAGGAATGACGGCATTTGGAATAATTTGTGCATAAAAAAATTAAAGTGGAATAAGCCTACTGGAGAAACCACTATAAAAAAAGCGCACCATGCTACCTACCTCATGACAGATGGTGTGGAAATGATAGAAACATTTTTCCGGACTTTATTTAACACAATTAAACTACTGCAATAATATCACAGGTTAAAAAAAAGTTTAAATTGACAATGTGCTGAAAACCTTAAATAAATTTATTGCGAAAAATATTACCTATGTAACATAATGTCCACTTATTGTTAGTACATCGTATCAATTATATTATTAAATTTATAATTATCAATATTAAAATCTCTTAATTTGTAATAAATTAGTAATATATACGGCCATGCTACTTATAAAGTTACATCCTATTCTCTCTCTCTCTCTCTCTTTCTGCAACCATCTTATAATGCAGATCATTATAAATATTCATGAGAAAAGTATATAAAATTATCGAAAATCCTCGAGAAAATACTTAGTATAGGATATAAATTTATTTACATACAAAGCATACATACGTATTACGAACATATATATATATTAAATTATTATAAATTATATATATTTCATTTTAAACATAAGTATACTTTTTAAATGGCTCACAAAAAGTTAAAAATGCATAAAACTTTCGTAAAATGTCACTGTATCCAACACTCCGCAAACACAATAGAGTATTAAACCTTAAGGAATTGATTAAATCACATTCGAATGTGAGAAGAATAATCGACTATTATTAGCCAATTTCTTAAGGCTGATATTAAGTCTTACCATTCTATTGTGATTGCGAGATTAGAAGTGCGTCAACAGTTCGATAGTAGTATAAATCAAAGATTTTGATAAATTGATCAAACACGTATCTATCGACAATAAAATTATCAATTCAATCGAAAAGAAACACGATTAACATTACATCTCCTAATATAGCATGTTTACACTAAAACAAAACGGTTTTGTATTTATTATGTAGCTCGTTATCGATGACACTAGTCTGTTGTGACTTCTAGAAGAATAACATTTCAGCAATCGGAAACATTCTACTACGATCTGTATTTCCATTACATTTATTATATGAATATTAATTAAAAGTCTCAATTATACTCTAATAACACACTTTTATTACACAGGGGTAAGTTTCTAAAAATATGACATTTGATATATTTGCAGTGTGCATGCTCAATTATTTTTTGTATACTAGCGTTGTACTACTTGACTTAAGACTAAACGTTACTTATGTAAGCATATATGTACGTACCTTAATAATGTACTATAAAATGTAATTTTTTGTAAACATTCATATGATAATCATAAGATTTCCTATTAATTAACAGAAAAATTAACGTTTCGTATTCACAAACGTATTAACTGAAAAACGTTTAATAAAATATATAATAATTTAAAACTTTTTTAGAAAATAACGTTTGTGTAACGATATCTTTAACATAATCGCAACAGTGTTAGAAATATTATTGAATTAAAAAATGTTTAGTGCTATTCTTATTAGTAGATGTAATCGTATCTATATGTTTACAATTACAAAACGAATTTATAATAATCCCTCTCTCTCTCTCTCTCTCTCTCTGCCTTCCCCCTCTCTCTTCCTCTTCCCCTCCCTCTCCCCCCTCTCTCTCGCTCCAACAACATGTACAATAACTATGTGCATTATTATCATTAGTACTATATTATTTCCTTGACTTTTCTGGCAGATATATACCTATATTTAGAACGACAATTGAAGGGACATGAATCCAGCACAGATAAGTAACAGCGTAATACTTATTTTGACAATAGTTGCTCTTAATAGTAAAGAAATATACAGTTCTACCATGCCAAACGACGTACATTTACCTTATTATGTGATACCGGTGCACTACTACATACAACTCAGCTATATAAAATCAAGTTATGAAAATTACGAACGACTTGAATTCATTTGGAAAGAGACATTTGGTTTAAAACATGATGATTATGGCTCATTTATCTTTCGCGGTGAAACTAGTATAACTATTAATATTCTTGAATCGACTCAATATATAAGTTTACATCAATTAAAGCTGATAATAAGTAATGCGAATATAACCGTGACTACAAAGAATGGCATAATTCATGTATTGAATAAATATAAATACACCTATAAAACGAACATTTTAGAATTTCCTTTACGCTACATGTTGCTTCCTGGGCTCTACACATTCAAAATAGAATTTTATCGTCTGCTAATAGAAAAGCATGAAGAGAGTTTCTTTGAAAAAGTTTACAAAGGAAATACCGTAACGTGAGCAAATGATAAATAGTTAAAAATATACGTATACATGATGTGATTTATAATATAATTATTACTTATTTTTCTTCAAAATGCATTTCTTATACCAATTTTTAATGATATTGTTTGAATTCAATGAAATTGTAAATATTCATTATTGTATGATTATATTTAAAGCAAATATATTAATTATTAAATTGTAACAGATTGTTGATAGCTCCACACATTCAAGAGCGGAATGGAATGAGACAGCTATTTCCTTGTTGGGACAAACCGCAATTAAAAGCCACGTTTAATATTTCAATAAAACATCCTCGCTATTATTCAACTTTATCAAATATGCCGATAAAGTTCCTGATCCCTGTTAGAGATTCATTTCGCACATACTTCTATAATACGCCTCCAATATCCACTTTTCAAGTTGGGGTAGTCATGACTGAATATCAATCCATTAGAATTAATGAAAACGTTACTTTGTGGTGCGAATGTTCAAAAGAGCGGTATCTGGAATTTAAGTTTGCACAGAGAATCATAAACAACATTACATTGCATTTAAAATCTGAATTCGGTGGGATAAATATTCCAAAAATGGATCACATTGCAATTCCAAAGATTCGACAAGATGGCATATCGAAATGGGGGCTCATATTTCATACGTAATGTATATATTTGAATACAAAATATGTTAAACGAAAAAATATTTTGCATCAATTTAATCAATTAAAAGTTTAAAATTGATTAAATTATATATTAAATAATTATCATTATTATACGAGGTGATTCGTATACAATTAATATTTTAAAATAAATATGGAATAGTTGCAATTGCATTTCTTTTCTAAAATCAATTCTGTTTTTTTCATCAACTGTGCATAAAAAATACCAGAATATGATTATAAGGAAATTAACAGTTATGAGATTTTTCACATTATTCCATGCCAAAATACGCTAGAATATAGTATTAAATATTTTGTAAGCTACATTGATATTTTAATAATTCCTCAATGTCTTAAAATATAGAAAAGTTCATGTATAAATACCTAAAAGAATCTATATGATTAAAAATATATAGACTATATAAAAAATAGAAGTAATTAGAAAACGTCTTTTATGCTTCCACAAGTAACCTTGATATTTATACAGAATTGGGGAGCCTTTCCCTATGACCTTGATAACAACAAATGTCAAGGCCAAGATTAAGGTGGGGTTCACCTATTCAGTATATTTACCGTAATCCATTTTACTGTGTGATATCTTCTTCTGTACTAAACATCTACATATAAAACACTTTTCCATATATTTTTATAAATTTTATTCACTATTGCATGTCTCACATTATACAAATTACCTTGTGATATCAAATGTTACATGTCTGTTGTATTTTATTATTAAAAAACACGCAAAGCAGAATCCACTTTTCTAACAAAATTAATAAGAAAAGTAAATATTTAACAAGATATTACACATTTAATGTCAAACTGAATCTAATAAAATACAAACAATTTAATCCCGTTATAATTTACTATATTCAATATTATATATAATATTATTATAAATGTCAAATACTTTATACACATTATTCAAAACAAATTAAATCGGAAAATGTAAACAAGTACGTTTTACATAAAAAAAAACAAAAAAATTATTACATGTTAGACCAATTATAATAATTTTTAGGGAAGCCAATCTTATTTATGATGAAACATTGGATCCAGTTATGCGCAAAATGGAAGTCGCACGTTTAATAGCACCTAAAATAGCATATCAATGGTTTAGTAACTTACTCAGTTCAGATTGGTGGTCTAATTTTTGGTTACACGACGCTCTTGCTACTATGTTCGGAGAAGAAGCTGTTGCTAAGGTTTTTATATTTATTAATATCGCAATATGAAAGATATATCTTTGTTATGTACATCATTTTTATATTTGAAATTTAGATCCGACTGTAACATCATAACTTTTTAAAAATCTATGTATTATCTGAAGTTTGCGACGATGTACTTTTAAGTAGGAATAATAATTATGTAAAAATTCTTGTAAAAAAACTCCTAAAAACCTTTTCAATTAAATATAAATAAATATCACAATTTAAATCATATAATGTCACAAATGTGTGAAAACTCATTTTAATAAATGGATTCATGCGTTATTTCTAAACTGAATTGTGAAAACTGTAAAAATGATTTTAATGATAATGCACAAACATGCATATTTGTATCGTGTGCAGTAGAACACGTTAGCTCAAATGCGGACATGTATTTTACATTAACGTTTATGCATAATTATGAAACTTTATTTTTAGAGCTTCAATAATTCTGAAATTTTGGATCTCTTCATAATTCAGAATCAATACGAATCTCTTCATCTGGATTCTCATTTTAATATGAATCCTGTGGAAATGACTACCCTATCGGACATTAATTCAATTTTCAGTTTTCCTCGTTACATGAAAGGTGAAAATAATTAAATAACCTTTTAGTAGAAATTTAAATATATGTACTAGGTGTTAAACTTAATTCCTGCCGTTTTTCGTCTCCGAAATTGATTTGTTTTGAAGGGAAGATGAATGAATACCTCAATCAAAGTAATTTCCTCCATTTTCTACTTTATTACTAATTAATGATACTTTATTAATAATACTTTGATTAAGATATTTCCCTTCGAAACAAATCAATTTTGGAGACGAAAAACGGTAGGAATTAAGTTTAACACCTAATATATTATAAAAGAAAAGGAAGGAAAAGATTAGTTCGAAAAATTCAATTATGATGTATTAATATGTTTCTTATTGTAGTGATAATTGTTTTACGGATGTTCCGAAGTGCTATTACCGATGAAGTGTTTCGAAATAATATCAATATATATGTAAACAGACAGTGAGTAAAGACAATGTAACAATTAATTACATACCTGTACTATATATATATATATATATATATATATATATTTGCAATATTTTATAGTACCTTCGTTTCGACTTCATAAATATATTTTTTCAATTTTATTTATTCATGTCTTTTTTATTTATTGTCTGTTCATTAACTTAATTTTACTTTCGAAAAATAAGCGGCAATATTTTTAAGTCCTTCAGTCTAGGCGACTTTCATCTCTAATATGTGTGACATAAAATTGTGTTGTAGAGTTTTATGTATATTTATAAATTAAGCTATAACTCTCATTTTTATTTTCAATCCATTATGCTGATTATTAACAATAACTTTTTAAATTTAGGACGTTCAGTTCAATAATATCTTATAACTTTTGGTCAATGAAAGACGAATTAGATGAACGATATAACTGTAATTTACCATCGAATGAGTTCTTAACTTGGATCCAGTACAAACATTATCCTGTTGTAATGTGGGAACAATACAAGCATCGAGAAATTACAAAAACAATATCGCAAAGTTATAACAAAACGAATTACGGGGAGTGGCTGATACCCATAACTTTAAGGGAATTAAAATTACTTTTTGAAGATTTGAAGACATGTTTAAAACCAAATGTAAATTCTATCGTGTATCCCACAACTTCTCCTTTAAATGAACTTTGGATGGTGAACTTTCAGCAAGCTGGTAAATATACATAAAAAATTCTACACATTGTATGTAATTATGAAATTAATAAGCAATACTTCTGCAAATATTTCCACATTAAGTCGGATAGTCGATGTTCCACTATATTAATGAAAATATGCATGATGAGTTTTCTAATTGTATGAAACATAGGAATGCGTGCACCCAAAAACACAATATATATATTATAGATGCAGTAATTGTCAATATATTTCATCATACATACATGTATGAAGTCTCTTTAATGTAAAAAAGAAGATAAAATGAAGAATAGTATTTCTCTCAGAATCAATCTCATAAAATTTATAGTACAGTTCAATAAAATACATTTTTTTTAATGTATAGGGTACTATCGAGGTAAATACGATTCAAGAACCTTGGGCGACATTGTAAAATATTTAAATAACACAGCTGGAGATTATAATATTATAAGTGTCATCAATCGTGCTAAATTTATTGATGATGCATTTCATTTGATGATTAATCGTCAGCTCGATGTATCTGCATTTTGGAACATCGCGAAACTCTTGTCGCAGGAGACAAATTTTATTGTGTGGTATCCAATGATTAAAGTGTTTGAATATATGTCGATTATAATTCCACTTTCCAGAGAAGAAATTAAGTTCATCGATATTATGGTAATGTCCAATAGATGTCATATTTAACAAAGTCTATTAGGTATATCATAAAAAATTTCTAGTTGAAATCACGTTCATCAGAATTTTTTTTGTTAAATTTACTAGAATTCTAATTAAGATAATCGAAATTCTGGTTGGTACGATTTCTCTGGTAAAATTTAATAGAATTACTATTTTTATTGGAATCATTACATTATTCATAACAATTATTTCTATCAATTATATCAAATAGATTTTTCTAATAAATTTAACTAGAAGATAATAATTCATCCATTTTCCAATTTTCAAAATCATTTCGAACTGATTATTACAGAAAGCATGTAGAAAGATTAATCCCTTTTTGAATTCATTACGATTAATTGTCAATGCTATCTATAATAATGAGCTTCATTACGATCAATGAAAATATAAAATTTGCGTCATTTAGGAGAAATTTAGAAAATTGTTGGAAAAGCCACTGAAGACACTAGGATATGAAGAACATCTGATGGAAAATGACTTCGCCAAATGTTTAAGACAAGAAATTGTGAAATGGGCATGTATCCTCCAAGACTATCAGTGTGAACAATCAGCTCTTCGTAAATTACTGCAACATTTCGAAAATCCTGAAATAAATCCGTAATATTTTTCTATAAATGCAATATCTTCACAATTTCGTTTTCGCTTTTAAAATTATGACAAAATTTCGGTTCAAACATATGATTAACGATGTTTTTACATGTGTGACTTTATTATTTTTTTTTTAATCTGTAGCCTTTTACCATGGTGGAAGCACTGGACATATTGCAATGGTTTTGTAACAGCTTATTCGTTTACGTGGTTACACATAAAAGATGCATTGTTCAAAGGACGTAATCATACGTTGCTACCCTTCTTAACTTGTTTTAGATATGCTTCTTCAAATATGACTTCTTCATTATTATTGGAGCGTTTCCAAGAGGAAGGACAACAAAACATTACGAATATTCGTTCGTACATAAACATTTTTCATTCAGTTATTATGAAATATTCTAACACACATGACATACTCGAGATGATATTTAAAAAGCTCGAGATTATGAAACCTGAGTAAGTACATTTTTTATAAATTTACACTATATTTAACAATAATATATTATATAATAAAACATATATTTGTATGAATTGATTTTATATAGACAAATCAACTTGTTAACAGCGCTGGTTGATATCATTAACCATGTATATTCTTCCAAATATCTTATGAAGGTAAATAAAATCAATTCAAATTTTCTATACACTTATGAGTTTTCTCCTAGTCAGGTTTCATAACTGTAAGATTAATTTTAATTTCAGTTTTTTACAATTTACCTTTTTCTAATTTTTTGAATTGCAAAAAGAGCAAACTAAACTGAGAAAAAAGTTTTTTTTATTTGTATAACCGCCTTTAAAATTTATGTTAATAACTGAGGCATGATGTATGCAATATGCCATATATGTCTCTGACTGCTTGCTCTTTATTCTTTCAATTTATGAAAAACGACAATTTATTGCATGCAATTTTGTCTGTATGGAACAATAATAAATTATTAAACAAATGTAATTACATTTTAAAACATTTTTTGTTTTAGATTCAAGATGATTATTTAAATTTACTTCTCTTTAGAGGTTACATAAATAGATCACAACTTTTGATAATTGAACGCAAGATATCCATCCGATTGTCAGAAATTGTCGCTCATACAGGATATTTTCGATTTATAAACCGTCTTTAATCTAATTTAAATAACCACGTAATATATATAAGTTTTCTTTTATATTAGCTCGAATCAGTGGGAAATTTCGTAAGCTGATTTTACTTTTGCTGAATATATAGTGTTAACTTTGAATATTTCGTTATATTAATTTTGCTTATATTTAGTCTACTCAAATGTTATAATGTCGTTTTCATTAAATTTTTACTTACGTCTGTATTTTCTGTATGTTTAGTTTTTTTTCGTTTGTACGTTATTGATTATTTTTCGCCATTATAATACTATTGTACCTGTATTATTTAGCATATCATATAATATTATGCGTTTATAGCGCAAAATAATTTGGTAATTATTTAGAGTACGGTCCTCACTTCCGATTTCGATGAAATTAGGCTTATTCGACGCGATTTTGCATAAAACGAAAGAACCTGTAAGAAAAAATGTTGGGACGGCCCCGCGAACCGAGATATTAAACGTTAAAGTTGACGACTATAGAGGGAATCCGTTATATCGACGAGATGCAGCGACAGGTACGAACAAATTCTCTGCTTGACAAATTGTCTGCTTTAAAAATAAATTCTCTGTTTTACAAACACAAAATTGCAGAGAATTTATTTTTAAAGCAGACAATTTATTTATCAAGCAGACAATCTAATCGTGAATGAGTAATTGTGAATTATGATATTAAAAAAAATTACTTTTTTATATGGATTAGTTAATATTATAAAGTTTAGATCTAACATTTCTTTAAACGCGTGCAGAAAATTCTCCGAAATAGCATTTACGTATGCGAAGTTCACTACAATCATTCGATATCTCTAGCGTAGTTACTAAAACGTATGCGCACATGACCACAGCGAATGCGGATGTGACCAAAATGTTCGTAGAGTTCGTATGTACATGTCGCTGCCATGGTGTAATGGTGTAACGTTGCTCATAATGGCGGTGGCATAATAGAACAACCAATCATATTTGGGTCCAAATGCAACCGCGAAATTTGAATACGACATTATGAATTTAATGATATAAATAACATAAAATCATAAAATCACGATTTTCAATAAAGTACAACATAAATATACCTGAAATAATAAAAGTTGAGTAAAAAATTACCCCGCAAATCGCCGGTTCGCGTAACATAACACGGTAGTGTCGCTGCTCCTGGTCTTAGCATCGAGACACTACCGTGTCTCTAGTCTCTACTAATTCTGGCAATAAGAAAAATTCCATTTTCATAAATACATTATATATTCTACTTATATGTGTATGTATAAATGGGGAGGGCTCCGACTGCACACATCGCATATTGCACACATGTATCGCTGATTGGCCAATTTAAAAATAAAATAATCTCATTGGCAAAACAGTGAAAAATTACTAGGTATCAGTTGATATGAGTGGTGTGTACAATCAGAACTGTAGGCAAACGGGATCCTCCCGTATAAATGTATATATACATATATATATAGATATATATATATATACATATATAATAGACATTATTTTACAAAGTAAATCAACAAATAAACAAAAAGTTGTATTAACGTGGTTCAAACTTTTCTTTTTGGAACGGAAATAATTCAAAAATACATAAAATTATTAGAACATATTTTATTTTTTAAAATAATACTTATTTGTGCTGATAGTTCACTAAGATGCGATCACAGCATATATCCTGAAAAATAAAATCAATAGACATTAGCATCAGGGGCTCTATTCTTGAAAAGAAATGTATACGAAAGTCTAGGGAAATACTATAGTATAAATAACATATACTGTAGCATTTCCCTAGACTTTCGTATACGTTGCTTTTCAAGAATAGAGCCCCAGAATTATAAATTGAGAACAATACGTATTATTCTATACTACAACCAATTTTGTCGTAATCTTTTCTTAATATTTTCTTATTGACACGTATTGTTGAGGAACAGATAATATGTTATAATTATACCTGGGTCAAGTTTTAAGAGAGAGGTATTAATTTTTTTATATTATATATTAATTTATGTTATTTGCAGTTTTAGATCTTACTAAAGAATTATATGGATATAAGAAACCGTGTATTCCGATGTAATCAGTTTCTGATAGGTTAAAATCTTAATATCTAATTCCTGTTCCTCTATTGTGCTCAGGCCCTAATACGTATTGTTGAGGAACAGATAATGGCTGCAGTCCACTTGCTTCTTCCAAATGCTCTGAACGTTACGCTCCAAACGCTACGCTCCGATTGGTCCATTACTATTTCGAATGCTACAATTGCTACGTGAACGCTCCAGCCAATCCACCTTCCGAGGTGAGGCAGTTGAAGCGAAGTGGGAGCAAAAATGATGACGTACTGATGACGTAATCAGAGTTGCTGGGAGCGTGCTGAAGCATCAAATGGACCAGTCATATCAGTGCTACAAATGCTCTGTAGCGTTTGAAGCGCTAAGTGGACCGCAGCCAATATGTTATAATTATACCTGGGTCAAGTTTTAAGAGAGAGGTATTAATTTTTTTATATTATATATTAATTTATGTTATTTGCAGTTTTAGATCTTACTAAAGAATTATATGGATAT